CTTTTGAATTGCGCCCTCTCTCGGCGTAGTGGTTTTTTGATGGTTTCCCTAACGACGAGTTACTGATCATTTTCGTCAGTTAAATTAACGATATTGTGGATTTGACGCCAGATGGGAATTACCAAGTTTGATTTAATGATTTTGAGTGAGTTATAGTTAATTACTATTGCAATGGTTTTGTTTAACAATCTATTGTTCATTTGTTATTTATGACCGTATTATGATGCACTTTTGGTGCCGTGGGTGACCATGTTATAGCCTAGGCCTAGAGAAAGTTTATAACAGAGATTCGTTGATATTACTTTGAATTTATTGAAAGGATTTTTTAGGCAAACTGATATGAAGACCTATGTCAAACGTCCAGTAAAGAATATAGACATTTATGCTGTATAATGTTACTGTATACAGATAAATACAGTGTTTAATGTGTTAGTTTAATCATAGTTTTATCTCAGAAAATATGAGTAGATACTGCTTTACTAGAGAAGGCTGCACGCTCGTTTTTGTTTGAGCTCATGAATATTCATGACTTGCCTAACTCATTCCATATTTGGAAACAGCCAGGAATCGAAGGGCTGTACTTGTGTATTGATGTTTTTATGGATATTATTCATTTGTTTTGGGATACAAATACTTATATTTAGACCTCATACATATCTGATTGTAGATTTACCAATGATTATTATTAGATTATCAATCATTATTTTTAGGATATCAGATGATTATAAATCTTGAAGACATTGCACTGCTGATTATTTGTGGAGAGCAATTGAGGTACTATACAATAATTGTGTTCTTAATAATAGGAATATATGCTGTTGTATTAATAATACGATATAAAAGATATAGTGACTATGCTATAATTGCTATGATAATGAAAACTCTGTTACGGTTAATTAATTTTGAGTTCATGGGGAAAACCATGATAATGTTTTTAGAGAAAATCAGTTATAGTTGCAGTTGTGTAATTAACTTGTTTTATATTTTACTGTTATAGTTCACGGTAAGGATCTTTGGAAAGACATTAAAGACCAAAGAGTACCAGTGAAACCTTGTTCTTAATTTTTTTGAAGTCTAGTAGTGCATACTAACCTATTATTATCCTATTTATTAACCTTAAAAACGCTGCATAAACTGTTGATCTAAAACATTGCGTAAGCTGACAAAAGATATTTTATTCTATTATTACAAAAACAAAACAAAGTAAATTAGGAATTTTTTTTTCCTTTTTTTTTTTTTTTTTAAAGATTGGAAACTAGACTCCCATGGAAACCAAGATACCCTATTGGATTCCCGGAAATCAAAAGTTGTTCTAACAGCGAACCGAAAGGTACACTGATTAATCTCAGATAAGATAGCATAATACATACTCAAAGTATCGAAATGCACGCCATCGTGTCGGGATTCAATATTTCGACATTAATTATGTCATAATATGAAAAATTATCCATATTTGCAAGCTTATATGCACAAGTACCAAAAGTGTATGACCAATATAAACATTACCCCTAGTAGGTGACATAGTTATGAATAAAGTGCTGTTTTCAAATAAAATATAATAACCATTACAGCTCAACATGCATAATATTACAACACTCTCGATGATAATCTTCATAATAATACATATTGTTCCATATAAATACTGAGGTTTCATGATATTTTGTTTACCTGTACGAATACAAAATAAACGATACTTTTTTAGATGAGGAAAATATTCTTTTTTACAACTTAATAGCAAGAAAACCTATCATGCAAAAAGCTAACGCCACAAAAGCAACACATCCTACAACGAACTCAATGACGGACATTCTTAATTCAAGTTTCTTTCTTTGTTCTTGATAATCTTTCTCTTGTAGTTTTTGAGCATCATTCTGTTCTTCCCCCAGATTTTCTTCCCCTTTGTCCTGTGGTAATTGCGGTGTTTTTACTTTACCTTCTTTCTCTTTCCCCTGTGAATGTGTTGCACCATTATTCTGCCCGGTTTGTCCTTGATGATCTTCTTCCCCTTTCACCGTTAGTGGTATTCCTGTTTGACCTTTATTCTCTTTCCAGCATGTTACATCCCCCAGATTTTCTTCCTCTTTGTCCTGTGGTAATTGCGGTGTTTTTACTTTACCTTCTTTCTCTTTCCCCTGTGAATGTGTTGCACCATCATTCTGCCCGGTTTGTCCTTTATCTTGTTTATCTTTCCGGCATGGTACCGCATCAGTATGTGTTTTTCTTTGATCTGTTTCCCCGTTCTCCACAGATGATTGCTTGTCAGATTTTGAACGGATTTTACATACAGCTGAACAGATTTTACATGCAACTGTTGTAAAGCCTTTGTGCGTTGGTAGACGAAGCAAAATTTCAAAAGCCACTGATATCACCCCAATCCCGATTACAGCATTACAGTACATTCCTGAAAAGAGAAATTTATTATTGCTTGTAAATATGACTTTAAATTGCAGTTAGTTATAATATTTAATACATATTACTTCACAAAGATTAGCCTACATTTTAGTTATTAAAAGAAAAGACAAGTGTCACGAACATACTGTTATAAGTACTATCAAAATTTGGGTCACTAACTACTACCGAGATAACGGTGAAACAAGTCTTCTAAAATAAGGACTATAAATGTGCACTATAAAGAACCCATTATATATTTTAAGACAAGTAGGGGGTGGAGGGTCGCCCGGTCTACTGGTCCGGCCAGCTCTGACAGGAAGAGACCCCTATGGAAGAATGAAGTTAGTGTATGAGCTACTGTAGTCTATGCTTTATGATATAGTGCTATATAAATGATTTTATGTCTTACTATAATTCAAATAATAAATAATAAACAATAGAAAAGATTATATATTATAGGCAAATTACCAATAACCGACGATTCCTTTCCAACGGGCGGCAGGGAAAGTGCAATTATTTGCTGAAAGACAATACTTCCTAGCAGTACTGTGACTCCGTATGATAGTTTCTCACCATTTTCAAAAGGAATAAAGAACATCAAGGTGATGAGGAAGGCGCAAAAATGGTACGGAACTAAAATAAATGTATAATAAAACTCGTGACGTCGCTTGAGTTGAATAGAGAAGACTGCATACGCAAACGGGTTAGAGTCTGTTTTGTATTCCTCAACTTCGCGCCATGCATCAACACCCTGAAGTGTCCACACTCCGTTGTCATAGAAGTGATCTTTTTGGTCCAGTTCACGAAGCTGTGGATAAACGTCTAACTCATACACATCGTAATTCCAAGAACCAAATCGTAGCATGCATGTTTGATTATCGTACGGATACAATTTGATGTTAACATGACAGGAACTTTGAAATACAGAATACGTTGAGTACATCGCGCTACCGTCGAAACATACCTGTACTGGTGCGTCCGGTAGGAAATGATTATAGTTCTCGTCGAGGCTAGAATGCAATTTTTAAAAATCAGATTAATTTATATATTGATATACATTAGAATTTAAGTTAACATGTTTTGGACGTAATGGGACAGCAGTCATGTACTGGTGCATTCGACAGAAACGATTTATGGTTTTCTTCATAACTAGTAAATGCAATTTGAAAAAAAAAGTTAGGTTCACATACATATAAATATGAAAATACGTAAACTGTTTTAGAATAACTAAACTTTTATATATTGCCGGGTAATAAATATTCCTTGTACGCACTAGGTTTATTAGCCTCCCCGAAGGTAAAACTGTTTGTTACCATGATAACTAAAGTTTGGTTAAGTCCGATTGGTTTCAAACTTGGCTGAATGCAAAATGGAAATATTTAGACGGAACCTATTGTTTTGGTTCCAGAGTAAGTATGCTAATTCTTCATTTGCATAATTAATATGTCACCAATCAGGAAATTAATAAAAATAAATACCACCATAATTCACATAAAAGATTTCCTGCTTAGTTGAAATTGTAATATGTCATGCCTCTACATTTACAAAAAAAAAACAGTGATACGATTGGCAATTGGAATGAAACTTTCCATATTTTTTAAATTACTGAAATTTTAATAAAATAGAATATAACGCAATTTTGCGTGTATACAGGATATCTAG